ATCCCATCCCATCCCATCCCATCCCATCCCATCCCATCCCATCCCAACCTACCTACCTACCTACCTACCTACCTACCTACCTACCTACCTACCTACCTACATACATACATACATACATACATACATACATACATACATACGCTTTAAAAATGTGACTTCTATTGTTGGCAAATTCCAGTGAAAGTAAAATTCCGTTTGATTGAAATATTTAAGAGATATCTAGGAAACCAGGAAAAAAAGCCCTAAAGACACAGGGATTTGACATGAAGTGGATTTGATATTTCAAATCAACCAGACTGTGGTGAGAGTAGATCCTTAATTGGAATTAATGGTATCAATACTAGTAAGGGCAATTTGTGTATCATTTATTTTGTAGCATTTCTCAAGTCTAATTTACAGAGTAATTGCATCAGTCGAACAAGCATTTAACTTAGCCCAGAAAGACAACAGGGGAGGAAAGATCATGTTCCCCACCCATATTTTGGCATTTAAAGAGACAATCCATCAGAGGAGGAGAAGACAATCCCTAGGAGGAGGGAAATGAGGAAGGAGAAGGAGAGGAGGAGGAGCAGGAGAAGGAGCAGGAGGAGAAATATAACAACAAAACAACCTGGTTGACACCTAGGATGCTGGCAGCAACCCCTATCAACCATCAGAGCCAGACAACAATATTTGTGATACATTTTTAAATGTTTAGTTGATTGAATTTCATGTTTAATGAGTAAAAGATAACAACAACAACAAGAATATGGAACACCCTTCTCTCAATTAGTTTCACTTCCAAATGTGTCATCCTTTGCAGATCATTTGATCTACATAACCTATCAATGCATCATATTTCCCAAGCTGTTCTGAGTATCTTTGTAAAATCTCACACTATCGTGGTTTCTAAAAATTTATTAACTCTGGAATTTTGAGAAATGTTGAAGAAGAGGAAGAATTAAATGTAGCATGGCTGATATGGGTCCACTGTGTGACATTACCATTCTGACTACTAAGATAAAAGTTTAGAAACCAAAGAGATAAAATCTGGCTTGCTTCTTAATTAATTCTGACTCAACAGCTAATTGACTAAATTCTGTGATTTATTCCACTAATACTGAGATCATTTGAAAACAAAGATGGCAGCATAGGAAATTATCATGAATATCTGCACAGCATGGCTATTTTGAGATTCAACAATGGAAGATTAGGTGACCCTTTCAAGGAATGTATTATCCTGCCTGTGACATTTGCAGATGGCATATGTTTATGGTTGGTAAATTTATATAGCATTAGTGTGATACAGATCAGCAGTGATTACCTACTGATTTATTAAACCATTTTTAAGAAACTGTTAGTCCCCAAAGATCCTCATTTTCAAATTATTGTCCTGATTATTTGTTATTTTAAGCTTAATGGAGTCTTATAACATACTTTGAAAGAACAGAGAGGTATTTTGCATTCCCTAAAGATCATGGCAAACGTATTTTAGCAGCTGGAAAAACTAAAACGTAACAATTTGTGAGCTGCATATAAGCTTCAGTAAATAAATATTAGCTGAAGACAAATATTGGTAGAAAAGTAGGAAACCTAAAATCAGTAGAAAAAAAGTTTTATATATCATGTGGAGATTTGGCTCTCTCTCCACAAGATAATTATTATTGAACATAATATCTTGATCTATGATTTAAGAAGTTATATCCATTTCCTATTGAGTTCTATTATTTGCACTGGAAAAATAATAATTCAAATCCTTATATTTTATGGAGGCAGCACAACATTGTTATTAGAGATGGGAGTTGGCTGATAAAAAAGAAGAAGAAAGTAATAGCATTTGGCAGAGAACTGGTGTTTCTCTGTCTTTTCTTAGCTATTTTCTTCTCATTTGTCTCAATAAGAATAATTGTCTTCTCTACCTGTATGTACATTCGACTAGGCTCAACAGAGTAATTTACCGTCTTCCTCCTCTGTTTTATTGGCTAAAATAAATGTAGGGAGTAGTGATTAAAGACACTTGGCTAGAAACCAGGATATTATGAGTTCTAATCTCTCCTTAGACATGAAGGCTAGTGAGTGACTTTGGGCTAGTCAGTCTCATTCAGTCCATGAAATCGGGTTTTGGTGACAAACTGGTTGGTTAATCCAGTCACAACCACTGGATCAAAACTGGGTTGATCTGGGGGGGGGGAAGCAGACCCTTCAGTTGCAGGAAATCACTAGGAAGAAAAAAATGTCAGGAGAATGGGTCTACTGGATTCCCTATTTAGTTTGGATGTACTGCTGTATATTCCAGGGAAAATACCCAAGAAAGTGTCTAGCACTAATATGACTAATACTACCACTAATGCCACTAATATCTTCAACTTTGCACAAAACACTTGACAAACATTTTGTTGCCCATTCTGTATTTCTGGATTTTCCTCAGAGACTGAGGTAATATACTTCCATCATAGCTGACTCCATTTTTGGTGTCGGCTGAAGAGACAAGAATTTACTTTTTTTGGCCTCAGTATTGTGAGTTTTCTTTTCTCCGATCTCCTATGAAATATATGAGGTTGAACCTTTCTGGCTAAATCCTCAGAGGTGGTATTCAGCAGGTTCTGACCAGTTCTGGAGAACCAGTAGCGGAGATTTTAAGTAGTTTGGAGAACCAGTAAATACCACCGCTGACTGGCCCACCCTTATCTATTCTCTGCCTCCCAAGTCCTAGCTATTCGGGAAGGAATGGGGATTTTCCAGGAACCTTCCCCTGCAACACCAGCCAAGCCACACCCACCAAGCCAAGCCACGCCCACCAAGCCACGCCCACATAACCAGTAATAAAAAATTTTGAATCCCACCACTAGTTAATACATGATGAATAATGTTGCTTCTCTCAGTGCACTTCTAGAAGAAAACCTAATCTCATTTGAACTACTTAATGACACTGTACAATCCTTCAGCCACCATTTTGATGCAGCTTGTTGTTTTGGAGTATGTTTTCTAAAAATGTAGGTTTAGAACAACTTTCTTCCTGCATAGGAAGTGGGAAGAAAGTTTTATGAACATTTCAAAACTTTCAGAATAATTTATTTCTAATCCCAGTGAAAAGCCATCTACTTTATCCATAGTCCACCTCCACAGTCTAGCCTGTAAGAAAACACCTCCATCATTGCTTTAGGTCCCTAAATCTGTCATATTAATCTTTCTCCCAGCTACTTGATGGCTACTGCACTCAGGTAATGAAAAACACTTGAAAAGCAATTGCAAAGAAAAGCAGGGGGAAACATGATGTTTATGTACCTATCTTCTATTCCAGGAAAGGGACAATGGGCAATGAAGCAATATTAAAGTATAAAGATATGCATTTCTATATTGCCAGAAATAATCTCTGATTTTTTAAAAAATTCACTGTGTTCCTTTCTTATGTGGGAAGGTACATAAAATTATGTGGAATGCAGTAAAGCGAGTCTGGTAATATAAGAAGAGATGATTGGTTCAAGAATAAATGGGTGATTTATGAACACCCAGAACAGTATGGAAGAAGTGTATTTTAGAGGTTATAAAGAAGTCCTGAATGGCAGCCAATCGTTTCAGAAAGATCCAGTGTTTCTTAAGCCAAACTCAGGTATTCCAGTCTACAGTAGATGGCTTTTGGTTGGAGTTGAGGCTGAACTGTGCTCATTTTAGACCAGGGTGTCAAACTCGATTTCATTGAGGGCCGCATCAGGATTGTGCTTCACCTTGGGGGGGGGGAGTGGGAATAGTCAGGGTGGGTATGGCCAGCTTGTTGTCACTCATGTTGGGGGCTCCTGTGGTGGCCCAAGTGCTCTGCCAGAGAAAACAGGCTCTTGAGCTCCGTTTTCGCCTGCGACAGCCTCCTGCAACCCTATGCCAGTGAAAATGGAGCTCGGGAGGGCCTCCATTTTTGCTGGTAGAGGCACCACAGGCCAGTCCTTTGCTGGTTCCAGGGTGGCCCTACGAGCCAGATCTAAGCACCCTGTGGGCCAGATCTGCCCCCCGGGCCTTGAGTTTGACACCCTGCTTTAGACAATGGGCAGCAGTTTGTTGCTTCTTGCCAGTAATGGGATGTGGGAATATAGTACGATGGAGAAATGTACATGAACATATGTATAAAATGAGAGCAGTCACCACCGTTATTATCATTATCTTCATCATTATCACTTTCTTAAAATCCTTACCTTTTGCGACCGGTACCTGAGCACATCTGACACCGTTTCTGATATTTTAAATGTTTGCCTTTGGCTTTCCTGGCTCCATTACAAGTGATACATCTCATCTATGGGGACACAAAATAGCTAAGACAACATCAGGATGGAAACCTCTCCTTCCCCAAAATAACAAAATATTTAAGCGTGTTTTTATTTGATTTGGGCTGAAATTCTTTTAGTTCACTCTAATTCTCTTCAGGCAGAAAATATTCAGAATACTTTTAGCTTTGAACTAGGTCTATTGTCTCTCCCCCCCCCCCTTATGTAGTGTTTTTCTATGTGAAACATTGTATACAGAAATGAAATTAATTTGAGTTCACAGAAACCAGTGTGTCTACCTAGAATTTTAGGCTTCATTATTAGCATTTTTAAAGTGTGATTTTTAAACATGGCAACCTGGGCCTCTTTTCTGACTTTAGGAAAGCATGTTTTCCTTCTAAGCCAGGACTATTTATTTTGGTATGTGAGAACTTGCTTTTTCAGCAATTAAACAATAGAAAACATATTCTGAAAGTCCTTAAATGCACTTGCAAGGCTAAAAGATACAAACCCATCTGCTAAAGACAGTAATGTAATCCATACTTTCGCCACTTGTGGAATGCTATCCACAATCAATGTTTTCTATTGTTCAATTCCCACATGTAATCAATTTGCTTGATCGCTTGCTTTCTTATATATCACACATACCGAATGGATGTATCGTTTGTTTCTGTACTCTTAGAAAGATCTGACCTACTTTAATACATGTTTTTCGCTTTTCCTTGACATACTTGAGATTCAGGGCACTTGGAGGCACACAAACAAATCACTTTGCCAATTGACAGATTACATTTTTATCAGTTCCATACCAAACTCGGGGATCTGAGTTTTTACAGCAACTTTCCCATTAAACAGTAAGTATGTGTAAAAACATTTTTTAGCATCAAAGAATATCAAATAATAAATATACTATCAATACTCACCCTGCCTTCACCATGGCACCCACTACATTTGTATCGTCCCCGGCCATGGCATTTATGACATTCCTGAAATAGAAATGAGCCATCTACATAGTCACTTAAAATAGACTATTGTATATCACAGTGATGGCAAACCTTTTTGTAAAGGCATGCCAAAATTGTGTATGTGTGTGTGTGTGCTGTCACGAATTCTCCAGTGCCACAATTCAATGTGCTGCGCCCACCTGCCCATGACCCCGGGTGAAAACAGCCTTCCCCGGCCCTCCGGAAGCCAGAAATGGATAGAGGCCAAACTTCCAGTTGGCCCATTGGGCCTGTTTTTCACCCTCCTCAGGCTCTGGAAGCTTTCCTAAAGCTTGGGGAGGGCAAAAAACAGACCCAATGGGCCAACCGGAAGTTCAGGAATGAACTTCTAGTTGGCCCGTTGTGCCTGTTTTTCGACTTCTCCAGGCTCCGGATACTTTCCTGAAGCCTGGGGTGGGCGAAAACAGCCTCCCCCAGCCCTCTGGAAGACTGAAAATCAGCTGGCGGGCATAGCAATAGCAATAGCAGTTAGGCTTATATACCACTTCATAGGGCTTTCAGCCCTCTCTAAGCGGTTTACAGAGTCAGCATATCGCCCCCACAGTCTGGGTCCTCATTTCACCCACCTCGGA